ATCATATAATGACACAATACCATCATATAATGACAAAGTACCATCATATGATGATAAAATACCATCATATAATGACAAAATACCATCATATAATGATAAAATACCATCATATAATGACAAAGTTAACCAGCATATAATAATAGTTCTCCACATAAGGCAGTTACGGCGTTCCATATGGAAGGCTCAAATTTCTTGTTTCATTTCACATTTTGATGTGATGCTTTTAAAATTTTACAATTTATTGGAGCAACCATTTGCTGACCTCATAGACTTGATTTATACGTCGTTTAATTACTGTAATGGATGTAAAAAGTTCATCAGCTCCTAATTAAATTCTGGAGAAAAAACAGCCCTTTGCTGACTTCTCTCTTTCGATAGTCGGTGGCCGTACGATTACTGGGGCATAAAATATAACTTTAAACTAGCTTTCTCACTTAAGAATTGTTTGTAGTAAAATCATCAAGTTTTCGTTAAAAAATTCAGGTCATACCCGGTACATGTATGTGAATTTACTCTCATTCATTTTGCAAATACAAACAGTGTTTACTGCTCTTGCAGTTATAATTGCACAATTGCACAATAGTCACAAATCCAGGATTTTTTTCAGGTCCTAAGGTCATTTTTTACTTATTTTACCATGTACATTTAATAGCACTAAAAATTCAAAAGGGTACCATTCTCCCGACCCCTCCACCCCTTCTACATCCGTACATACACAAGGGACAGCTAGGTATGGCCATTTATTTACAAGCCAGATGAGATGACAAATATGAAAATTCATAATAAATATTTTTAATAAGAATATTTTTGTTGCACAAGATGATAACAAGCAGTTATTAATTTTACGTGTTCTATATAATCTATTTTTGTAAATAAGGAAATTCCTATTTATGTCATAGTTAGATATACCGGATTTAACGATCTAGCATAAAAATATGTCAATTCATGAAGAACCCCCCCCCCCCCCCATGATTTGTAAATTCCGAAGGTTGCAATTATGCTACTAAGAATATATTGGACAATATTACTTTTATGTCAATAGGGGTATTACCCAATTAAATTTAAATAGCTACGAGGGTTGTCCCAAAATTCCGTAGACAAGCGTTGTTTTGTAGGAACCCTATGTCATACATTAATGAAACTTCGTATATAGATTAAACCAACATTATCTAGTAATTTTATGGACAGATATGGAGTACCTATACAAATTATTCCAATTTAAAAGACAAATTTCATTGTCTGGCGGCGCAATACCTAAAAGTTGCAGTTACAACTTGGTATATTATATTTAAAATTCTACGGAAAAGTAATTACTACCCCATATTTTTTTAATGGAAATGAAAATTCTTAATATTGTGTAATTAACTATATTTCCTCAAATTTTGGTGTTTATGCTTTGATAAATATGAATTTTATAACGTTTTATATACATGGGGTTGATATCCGAATTTGTGAAAAATGGCGGCGTATTTTGATCCTGGATTCACTCTTACAAAAAATTTACCAGTCATAAATGTTTGGTAGATTAGGAAACTTCTTTTAATCCTTAGTATTTAAAATGACTAAAACGGTTTCTCTATGTATATATGTGAATAAAAGTAACTAAAAATAAAAGACAGGGCTAAGAAATGGGCAAGAGTTACATTGTGCAACTCCATTAGAGAAAACAGACGAATAGTCCGTAGAAATATAGTGTTTTAAAATTATTATTATTTCATACCTGTTCATGCATAAACTTTGTTTACATATTTTAATGTATGATCATATCATAGTTATTAAGATATTTCACATTTATAACTATAACCTTTTCGTTTAATTGAAGAATTTGATTCTGGTAATTGAAATATTTTCTCCAAAAACTTGAACCGTTGAAATTTGTATTTTTTGACGTTGCAGATTGTTCCGGGTGTAAGAGAACATGATAAAACTTCGTAATTTATCTGCCAAGAACACGCTTTATCTACCCTGAAAATTTTATAAAGATACATTAATTTCTTTCAAAGATATGAGCTCAGTCTACGGAATTTTGGGACAACCCTCGTATAGTATTATTTTAGTATAATAAAGTAACAACAATGCTCAGAAAATCTTTTGACATTAGAGTTAAGTTTGAAATAAAACGCACAATAAAATTATTCAGTCATATATAACAGATTTTAAGCACCGCCTTCAAAAATACCTGTATTGTGCACGTACCCTTGTCAATCAACTGCATTAATGTCCATCATTGAATGCTAGTACCCCTTGTTTAGCAATCGTGATGACCTTCAAATTGACTTTGGATCCTTTGAACGTTGCAACACATGGTATACAGAAGCTGTATTACATTACAACTATGAAAATTGCTAGCCTGATAATATATAATATTTATATCTACCTTTTTTATTTGAAAGTATTGTAATATTCTTTTTGATAAAATACATTCATCAAACTTTGGTATTATAACTTTTTAAAAAGTTATTTGATTTTCAATATTAATTTTAATACGCAAAACATAAAGTGGAAATGTTAAGCAATTAAGTTTAGGGCAGCAATATATAGTAATAAAATTTAAAAAAAATTAAGTTTTTTTTTATCATGGATCACTGATATTTTCCTTCCTAGTTAAGATAAGAAATTGTAAGCAATGTTTCAAGAAATAATGATATCTTTTAAATGAGTAGGGTCTTTCTTATATATATTGAAATACAAATCAATATAAATCATTGAGATGAAACAATTTTTTTTACAACCTTTACTTCTAAAATTGTCTCAAAATCCCAAACACTGGTAAAGTTTGACTTCTTGGGTATTTCATTGTTTACATCCACTGAATATTTTCTCCTTTATTTCTTAAGAAAACCCATTGCGTTAAACACTGCATGAACTACATTAGGCAGGTCGCCTGTACAGATTTCTTGATCAGTGGCTGTTCCATCAATGAAACGTATAGAGACGTTCGCATTATTAATACAATAATTAATCTTTTTAATCCTATTCTAAATGATTACTTATACAGAAATAAATATAAACAATAAAATGCCTTTCTTTGTTTGTTATTACTGGAATTAACGGTCGCAGCTATTGCAGAAAAAAATTACATAACCCGCTTTTTTCTGCAACAACTGCTTCTGTTAATTCCAGTAATAACAAAGAAAGCATTTTATTGTTCAATTAAATCACTTCCTGTGTATAGGGATTAGGAGACAGATGACCTCTGGTAGACTGCTAGCCCCCAAGGCATTCACACCTGTACAAAATAAGCCTCGCCCTCACCTGGAATTTACCACCCGGTAAAAATTTCTGCCTTTAACATACTTTTCACAATTACATGTATAAATGTTTATGTCAGATATCTATAATTATAGTCTCTAACATACTCAGTATTACTTGAAGAAGAGCGAGGTTTTACAAAAAGAAAAAGGACCGAACAAAGCGTGCAAAATTCTTATTCTTAAAACTATAACTCTTGGACAAAGTGGTAATCATTTATTTTTGCCCCTTATACCTACATGCAAAATAAATTACGTCATCATGCGAGAAAAGTATGTCATCATGCAAGATGAATAAGTCTGCATGCAAAATAATTATATTGACAGGCAAGTAACCACGATTTTTAATGAATATCATTTTAATGATGGTAAATTAACCTATCAACGTTTGAATATGACATCAAACATGCAAAATGCTTCTACAATGTACTAACAATATTTTCATTCATTTTCCAATCATGACAAGGATCATAGAGTGGATATGACCGGTCGGTAGGGGATGCTCACTATTCCATTGCACCTGATCCTATCGCTGATGTTCTAGATCGATGTATGTCTTTGCACTCTGCCCCTTAATTGTATTGTTTAAATGGACTTGTTGACCATGCTTACATGCGAGATTATAATGTAGACATGCAACTGATTTATGTTAACATATAAGTTAATTAATCTTTAGGATATGATAATGGCACACAATTTATTTGACCCTAAGTACGATAAATTATTAAACCGAGATGACTACTAACAAACAGTTTTATGTTAAATGAGTTCAAAAACCTCGTTTGAATTCGGTATTTCATTAGTTATAACTTTGATAATGAATAAAACCTAGTACATGTTTATATGAATTTAGGTCGTACCTTTACGGACATTTTTCATACTAAAAACTTGTAAGGGAATAATTTATGTTATTTGTTAATATATGCTATATATCAAAATAACGAGTTGAATGCAGCATTAAGTGTTTTCTTCTTTTTGGCATCGCTTATGTAAATTAATTTTAAATTAATTCTGCTTCAACATGAGTACAAATAACGAGGTACAATTGGTACCAATGGGAATTCCGACAAATCGTTGAAAAAAAAACTGATCTACAAAAACTGCATAGGAATCAATCAAGAATTCAAGCATATTTTTAAAATCAACTACAGAGTACTTGTGTGTACAATCAGACGTTTTAAATTACAAAATAATTTTGCTAATGATTAATGACAGTGTCAGTAAATTTCCAGTTCATTTTTTTACATTAAAAAGGCTGTTATTGATGTTAAAAAGCCTGGGCATTATTTTATCGTGGGAAATATTTGTATAAAGTGTTAATGCTATATATTTTGGTAAAACTTCCTGATTTAATATTTTTTAATAGATCCTTGGCGTTTTCAGTGTTTGATTTAGACTACTTCTCAAATGAATGTTGTAGAGTAGTCCCTGATGTTTATCATTAATTGCTTTTAATTATTTTAGTAAGATGTGAGGAAAGACTTGTGGTAGAGCTTTAACTGGGACCTGCAAATATTACATATTTCTTTGGAAGGATTTTATACATAGTAACTTAGGCATTCAATTTAAGTATGGTAATTCAGAGATTGTTTGTATGAAAAGGTATATGCTGTTTTGATCTAGTACATTTCGAAAAGTTTAAAAGTAAACATATACAGATTTTTTAAATATATAATGGATTAAAGATTGTTTTAAAACCTTCAAAGGGTACTAGACGTAATTTGTTGAGAAAGAACCTTTTGTCCAACCATTTTGTGGGTTTACGAACAAAATAATTGTCTTTTTATTACATGGAGTATGCCAACACAAATTAAAGACAAATGGTCTGTTCATAGTTGTCTAATTCATTATGCGTCTTATCGTCACAGGTCACTGCTAAACACCTCTTTCTGTAGGGAGTACACCGTACTTCTGTCTTCTGACGTCTCCTCTTGTGACGTCATATCTTTCTTGGAATCATCAACTTCAGAAATGCGTTTGAGATCTAGTTCTCCCATTGACTTCAATTTTGATCTTCTAGTGACAATTCCAATCTCGTCATAATCCTCAATATGGTTTCCAAAGACGTGCTGCTTAGACTTTGAAGTTGCTCTTTCCGAATTCCTATCGGCAATGTTAGGAATATCATCATACCTCGTCAGGAAAGGTAACAGTGTGTGTAATGACAGGAGGTAACTATGGACAACACGATGGTCCTTTCTGCCAGTATACAGAAAGTAAATCAATCAAAACAATGTGATACATGAACTTGTAAGTCATGATAATTTATGAATAAAAGTTTTCCTTAATAAAGATATGGTTTGAACACTCTTTTTTGTAAGGAGAGAGATATTGTTGAAGTTACAGGAAATATGACAGATGGAGACATTATGGAACGCTAAATTAACGTAAGTTCAAATCTTTCTCACTATCTTTAATTAATTATATCTTCAAATCAATTATACTTATATTGAAAAATATATATAGATAGGTTTAATTCAATTATATCTATCTTTAATTCATTTGAAGATAGGTACAATTGATTTGATGATTTCAAGATACTTAGTAGGTACACTTGATCTGAAGACAGGTAAAAATGCCATAAATTAAAGATAGATAAAATTGGTTTAAAGATAGGTGCATTTAAATTGAACCCATCTAATTTTTTAGATACTGACAATAATAGCTACTTCCAATAAAAATGGTTTGTACATTTCTTTCCCTGTTCAAGCCGTTTTCAGAATGATGTTTCCTTATTTTCAGTAACAGAAAAAGAATTGAACCTATGCACGATTGTATTGTACCTATCTTTAAATCTTTGTGGATATGTTTCAATTATGCTTTAATATGCTTTAATTAATTTTAGGACTTACTGAACTTTACAAATATACCTGTCGATTCAGCTGTAAATTTAACGGAATTTTCAATACAAATAAAATACATAGTAAAGAGTAATCTCAGTAATGTATCTATATTTACCGAAAAAGTACTAATGTTAAGGAAGACTACTTTAAAAGGATGCATTTAATCATTTTTCGCACTGAAGTACTCGTAAAACACAATTAAGCTATCAAATAAACATTTAAACGTGATTTCCTTGAAATTAAATATGAAACATGACTTGAAAGTATTAAGATTTTGAAAGAAGTACTTTAAAAAAAATTAATCAAACTAATTAAGTAATATGATGCATGTGAAAGTTTCAAGTAAAGAACATTTCATGCCTAGTCCATTTAGTACATGTGTATATAAGAAAAAAAAAGAAAAACATCACCCATTTCCACACCCTTTAAAGATTTTTAATTAACAATCAAATTAATTGTACCTATCTTTAATTAATTCTACCTATCTTTAAATCAATTCTTCTTATCTTCAAAAGAATTGAAGATATGTATGATTCACTTGAACCTATCTTCAAATTTTATTATTTAGAAATAGGTAAAATTATTTACACCTATTTGTACCTTTAATTCATTAAGACCTACCGGTATCTTTAATTCAATTGTACCTATCTTCAATTCATTTGAAGATAGGTTCAATTATTTAAAGATAGGTACAATAATTTGAAGATAGATTCAAATGTTTGAATATATGTTGATGCAGCGTTCCATAACATATTTAACATTTTTCTACAAGACACATTTTCAGTACATTGTAACAGTTTCACTGTGTAATGACTATTATTTTAGTGTAATTGTAACATTTTTGTAAAACACGAGACAGGTATACAGTATTTTAGGACTTACCGAACCTTTACAAATACCTGTCGAATTTATTTTTTTTAAATAAGAATATGATACTTGTTAATTCAATTCAATGAAAATAAAATAATAGTTATAAAAAGTTACATGTCTATATTGACCAAAAAAGTACTAGTATTACGGAAGATCATTTTAAAAGGATACTTTTAATCAACATTTTTGCACTTTTTAATACTCGTAAAACACAAGCTATCAAATAAACATTTAAACGTGATTTCCTTGAAATTAAATATAAAATCTGACTTGAAAGTATTAAGATTTTGAAAGTAGTACGTAAAAAAAATTAGTCAAACCAATTAACTCATATAATATATGTGAGAAAAAAGAAAGAAAAAAACATCCTCCATTTCCAAAACCTTGAAATATTTTTAATTAACAATCAAGAATCCTAACATTGCTGTTTATTTCATGGCCTTTTTATCAAATGTAACCTATCATTTGATCGAATTCCGGCTGATTTGCTTCATGAAAATGAAATATGGAGACAATAAACAGTCGGCCTATTCAAGCTTTAAGTTAATTTAAACAATACAAGTCGGAAGCAGAACAAACACGGAACTTCAAAAACATCTGAAGTGGGATCAGGTGTCAGGAGGGAGTAAGAATCCCCTATCGACTGGTCACATTCGCCTTGTGCTCCTTGTCACGATTGTGAAAACTGAATTATCCGAACACCATTAAGAATAGGCTTAACAAATGGTATGGAAAACTTTTAAAAGTCAGCATTTGACTAAATAATTATAGGTTAAACTGTATTTGCTGACGACGTCCTTGTATCGACCATAAATCCTGCAAAAGGATGACTTAAAACAAGACTGTTGTATTAGACACACAATATAATACTGATTGAAAGACCTTTGTTTTTATAATGAACTTTTGTTTACGAAATGTTTTGTTTCTCTGAACAATGCATAGGGCGCCCGGAGGGCGTGAATGTCAAACAGGAATTGCATACTCCTCATACACACCTGGCCCATGCATCTCTAAAATTTCCAAAGGACCGTGTTTAATGCAGATTTGTATTATTTATAGATATATTATTTTTGAGACCGATCACTGTTCGTTATCTTCACTTTTTTCAATTTTCTTAAAAGACGAGTTTTGATTGTTGTTAAAACAGAAATGAAAATGTACATGTTTTTACTTTATCTACATCACTTTGTAGTGAGTCATTGTTGATTTCAAAGCAGAATCTTTACAGAAAATTCAAACAACACATTTTAAACTCTAAATCAATTTTATCATGATGATGTAAAGGTATTATATAATTGCTTCATATTTCTTGTTTAATTAATTCGTGACATGATATTTCCTTATTTTAATTTTTCTAATGACTACATATGTATGTGTATACATTGAAAATATCAGACTAAGGACATAATGATCAATATGTAATTAGTCATAAAGATCGGTAGATTCATCTTTTAATGAAATAGATATAATTATCTCACCTTCTTTGTATGACAGATATTAGATTGATGATCAAAAGTAATAATCCATATATTCATTGAAACAATATTCCAACTCCAGCGGAAATGACGTAAGGCTGTATCCGCTTGATGACGTCAAAAATTGATGACTCAGCTGGGGTTGGTTCTGAAAAAGAAATATATTCCCTTAAAAAGAAATAAGGAAGGAAAAAATTAATTACATATGCTACTTAACTTTCACTTGAGAAAAGGTTTTAAAATAGAAACGTAACATCCTTCTTGGTCGTCATATTTAACATAAAATAACAGAATCTTATTTGGAATAAGTTGAACTAAAATATGAACTAGATACCACATGCCTGTACTGTTTGTACTATCTGTTGTTGTTTCGTTGGGTCCTATATTTGAAATATCTTTCCCTTTGAATAAAAATAAACAACATAAACGAGTACATATATTAACAAACATACATTTCATTGACTGTAAAATTTGATGGTAAATAGCAATTATGCAACTATACTGACATACGGGTATTTGTCTAGTTTTACTCACCATACGCCACATTTAAGATAGCGAGGCTGGTAAACACTTTCATCAGTTTCTTTTGCCATCCTTCTGCTAAAGTGCAAGACATCGAAGCTTTGTAAGTTATCCTATTTTAGTGAACTGGTTGTGTCTGAATTCTAATAACTGTTAGAATATAAGATTTGGATAAAATTTAAAGTAATTTAAGTTTGTTTTTAAGGTAAAACCTGTCATTTTCGAGGAAAAAATAATTTTGATTTTGTTTTATATCATATGTGTATTATTCTTACCATTAATATAAGAACTATTTCCAGTCAAGGCTCTCCAACCAAAGTGTGCATTAAGAAACCTAAGATATTTGATCAGCCTTACTTAAATGAATTCGAACAACACACAAAAAAATTATACAACAACTTCCTTGTTAGAAGTTCCTCCACACCGTGACATCTGGCTCCAGCTTATATAGGAAGTTAACCAATGGAAATATTTATTTCAAAATTAAAATTATTGCACAAGTGATTTTGTAATAAAGTAACATATAGGATCCAAGTCAATTATTATTCGTATTTTGATTGAAAATTATAATTAGTTTCCAATTACTTGGAAGTAGTAAAGTAACTTGTACTTGATATCAATACGTTATACCAATAATGATGAGTATAAAAAGAAAGGCTTAACAATTGACATAAAATATGTCAGCCAAAAAACACGATCCAATGCTATTATATTTTTTAACACGGTCATTTTAACGACCTCAAAATATACGAAATGCTGACCTTAAACGAGGTTGTTAAAATCCCTGTAATATTAACTTATCAATGAGTAGCCTGTCTTGTTTTATAACTGATCGTACCAAAAGCAAAGTCTTGAGTGGCGAATAAGTTTTGTGACACGAACATCTCTAGCATATCATATTGGAATAACTTTACATAAATAAGGAAAACTGGAGATAGAAAAGCTGAAGTCCTCTCATAAAATTTTGTTGTTAGTTAGCCTTTATCGTCTGTAGTCAGCATAACATCAAAATACGAAACAGATGTGAATGACTCTGTGGTGTCTTTCATTTCAGATTCACTGGAATATTCTCCGTCGATTCGACAATGAAAATAACTATTGTTAATTGATAAAACATCGTTTATATATCTGAATGTTCAATATTGTTTTCCTCTAAGCAAGTAAAAGTTTTTGAATATCTTCAGATTCAAAGGAATATAAAACCGGACAGCTAATAAAGAAGTACAATTAGTGTTCATCAGAATTCCAACAGTTTGTTGGAAAACTTTTTTTTGAGACTTCATAAATATTGTTAATAACTTTTGTTTCAATCAAATTCTAAGAGGCATACATCGATGACTTAGAATTGTCATCGGAAAAAAATATATAAAATATTATGCAATCTGTATACTTTTTAAAGTGTTTAATAAGCATTAATTTAAGAAATGAATTTGATTTTTGAAGATTCATGAGGTTATGAACTACGACGCTTCACGCCGGCATATTTCATGAAGCGCGTTAGCGCTTTATGATAAATATGCCGGCGTGAAGCGTTGTAGTTCATATACCTCATGAATCTTCAAAAAATTAAATTCATTTCTTATATTTACATTATTTTTCTGATGACTTGCCATAAATTTACGCCGTTCAACTGTCATTTTTAAAACAAAAACGTGTGCACTATTTTTTGACTTTTTGACGTTAAGAGCGGTATTATGACGTAACAATGGAGATAGTCATGCTTATTCGTGAAACATACCTAATGTAGTTCATGAGGAAATATACTGCATTTTATTTTGTAAAGAATCATAGGGGAAATTTATTGGAAATGTAAATATATAGATATATTTACATCCACTGAATATTTTCTCCTTTATTTTTTAAGAAAACCCACTGTGTTAATCACTGCATGAACTACATTAGGCATGTCGCCTGTACAGATTTCTTGATCAGTGGCTGTTCCATCAATGAAACGTATAAAGACTTTCGCATCATTAATACGATAATTAATCTTTTTAATCCTACTTTAAATGATTATTTAAACAGATATAAATATAAACAATAAAATGTCTTTCTTTGTTTGTTATTACTGGAATTAACGGTCGCAGCTATTGCAGAAAACTTACGCTTGCGCGGGTTATGTATTTTTTTCTGCAACAGCTGCTTCCGTTAATTCCAGTAATAATAAACAAAGAAAGCATTTTATTGTTTAATTTTTTTATAAGACGTGTGGTATTCATAGGACTGGATCCGGCAAATTCACAAGTGGATGAATGAACCTAAGAACACGAAAATGGGAACACATTTATAAAAATCAAAATATACTTTTGGTTAATATGGACCTTTACCTTTTTGAAGTATGCTCAATGTTTTAAGAGCTCTGTAGATTTATTTTTTAACTATATCTAGAGAGTAAAAAAAAACATGTACGAGCGTATAACCGTATACAAAGTTCACATGCTGATTTATTAGTTAGTTACATGTACATGTATAATATTATAATTAAAATTAAAGCGATAAATAGTAGAGATAAACATAAATACTAGGCTTTTTTTTTTTACATCTTAGGCAACTTCTTAAATAATCAAAGTACTCAGAAGTACAGAGAGCCGGGCTCATTTACAGAGTAGATTGGATTCCTTACATGAATCACGTTTATATTCTGATGAAAAAATTATTTTAAAACTATCAATATAAATGATAAGACACTGACAGCGAGTTTTTCAATCCTAATACCACGGTTCGATTTTGTCAGAATCAGAATTAATCTGGTACTGCAGCTGAATGTAAAGAAACAGGCCAGTCTGGTTCCCTCTCCTGCTTTACCTCGTATGTGTAGAGAACTACGGTAACACTGATTATCAAAAATCCTTACGCTAATGAACTATGTTCTTTGACTTATGAAGTTTTCAAAGTCATTACTACTAATGTTTATTTTATATAGATAAAACTTCGTTTTTGTTTTTGTTGCTTTATTTAGCGTTTGTATTATCTCAAAAGCGGTTGAGAGTAAGAACTATATTTTTGCACGTAACTTTAAAATGGCGACTATGGGTTAACATCCTGTCTTGGACAGGATCACATAAGCCGGTGTAACGACGAAAAGTGACCCCCGTAGAATATTGACCGGGGGTCATTTTTCTACGTAGAAAGTTGACCCCTTAGTCAATATTCTACGTAGAAAAATGACCCTCTTTTCTGTAGAAATTATGTCCTTGGGGTCGATTTTCTCCGTGTGCATTGTAGAAAAATGACCCGTAGAATAATGACCCCCTGTAATTTTTAAGATGCAAAAACTATCGTATTGGTTGGAATAGTCTTGTAAGGCGAATGTATACGGGTAATATCAAGCAGCTTTATGCTTTGAAGTGTTATTTTCTTTAAAGCTTTTAAGCTTAAATAACGAAATCAAAGCTATATACAATACCTTACATTAATAATATGCAAACCGCTTTATCCCCATTAAAAGAAAACAATATCTTCATGTATTAAAATGTTCTAAGAGTATTAGGACAAAGAAATGCGCATTCAAAGAATCGTTTATTGTCCCCCGCTTTCGCGAAAGCGAGGGGACATTAAATCTCATTTGTCAGTCCGTCAGTCTGTCTAGCTGTCCGTCCGTCACAAAAACTTTAACCTTGCTCATAACATTTGATGAAGTGGAGCAATGACTTTGATATTTCACGTGTATATTTCTTGTGACAATACCTTCCTTTGGGTACCAACATTTTGATCTTTTGACCTTGACCTTGGAATTTGACCCACTTTTACACAAAAATTCTCAAATTTTACTTAGGCCATAACTTTTGAATGGTAGATACTAGGACTTTCACATTTCACATATGCATTCCTTGTGGCAAGTCCTTTCATTGGATATCAACAATCTTGACCTATTGACCTTGGAGATTTCTGTACTTGTGATAAAACTTGGCCTATCTTTTGAATAGTAAGACATGGGGCTTTCATACTTCACATAGTTATGTAATCCTTGTGAGAAGACCTTTCATTGGATACAAAGAACTTTGACTCTTTGACTTTGACCTTGGAGTTTAACTTAGTTTTAAAAAGCAAAACTTGATCATAACTTTTACACAGTTAGGGATGAGGCTTTCTTGCCACACATATTTAATCCTTGTGACAGGACCTTTTATTGGATATCAATATTGACCTTGACTTTGGAGTTTGACCTACTTTTAATAAAAAAAATTAGGTAATAATATATTTAATTTGCATATAGGAAAATGTTTATCTTCACTATGTTGCCGTACGGGGTCATCAGTGTTTCACAAACACATATTGTTCCTTATCTTGATAGGAGATATGGCCTACATATTTGACGTCTGTATTACCTTTGACAAGATATTTCCAAGCATGCTATGATTTGTGACCCATTGACCCTGACCTTCACGATTGACCTTTTTTTTAAATCCTACTTAAGTGATGATTTCTTAATGACATATGATAGAGGGTTCATATTTGAGACAATATGCCATAAACAAGAGACCCACGGGCCTTATAGGTCACCTGAGGAACATGTAACAACTTTCCAACAACTGAATTTGGTTAGACTGTGTTAAACCAAAAGCCTCAAAATTCGCAATTTTGAAAGAGGCACCATTGTTTATCATAAATATACACTTAGCATGCTTATTTTGGTTACTTAATAACCAAAGGCAGTTCAGAGTAACAGAGAGAAAATGCATTTCCACTTTATAACCACCAGTTGTGCACACCAACCCAGAGGAACCACTGAACCTGGGGCCACATATTTCAAAATGTTGGGAATTTTATAAATTTCATTTCATCAAAAATGTGTGGTTGATATCAAAGGGTAGATTTCCAAGTATTACTTTATTTAAGACTTTGACCCCCCACCCCCACCCCGTATACAGGGGCCCTGAAATTAACCATTTGGGAAGATCAGGCACCTTTCTTTATCATAAATATAAACTTAGATCATTGGCATTATACCAGGGAGCGAAGGATAAGATTTCCAAAGAATTCATGCGTTTTCACAATATAATCATTATAGAGCCACACCCTAACAACAGAACCCCTGACCCTGGGGCCATGAAATTCAAAATTTTGGAAGAGGCAGACTTATACAATATAATCATGTACTTGGTCAGTTTATTTCTTACCCAGGAGAAGAGAAGATTTTTTAAAAGAATTAATGTATTTTCACTATATAAACAATTAAAGAGCCCTGCCCTTACACCAGAACCCCTCCTCCATGGGCTATGAAATTCACAATTTTAAAAGAAGCATTCTCGGTCATCATAACTATGTACTTTGTTTATTTAAAACCCAGGAGCAGAGAAGAAGATTTTCAAAGAATTAATGCATTTTCACTATATAACCAACAGAGCCCCACCCTAACACCAGAATCCCCTGACCCAGGGGCCATGAAATTCACAAACTGGGAAGACGCATCCTTCCTTATCATAATATGTACATTGTTCTTTGGTTAAATATCAAAGAGCAGAAGAGAATTTTTTTTTTTTAGAATTTATGCGTTTTCACTATAAAATCAAAAGAGTCCCGCCCTAATACGAGAACCCCTGACCCAGGGGCCATGAATTTCACAATTTTGATAGAGAACTCAATGCTGATTACAATCATGCCAACAGTTTGAATGTTTGATGTCCAGAATTATAGAAGAATATTTTTAAAGTTTGCACTAATTTTAGGGGTTTTGGTCCTACCACCTAGGCCCTAGGGGGGGGGGCAGGGATCATGAAATTCACAATTTTTTCCCCTTCACTCATAGATGCTTTGTGTAAAAATTGGTTGAAATTGGTTGAGCAGAGAAAAAGCTGAAAATGTTCAAATGTTAACGCTGAGTTTACTCAGGTGTCCTACAAAGACACCGAAAGCCGGGACCACAATTTTTTAATTTGAATGTTACATTTGATACAGTAAGTTTCCACAGTTGTCATTTTAATCTCTAAAGGGTCATTTTCTCGCTAGTTTCAGAAGAAAACGTTTTAAAAGTTTCAATAATTTAATAATTATAAATTTTTGATTTTAATATAGAAAACGTCAGTCATCATTTAACTCAATGATAAATTTAATTTGCTGACAAAATCATTGTATCGACCATAAAACTTACGAATGATGAAAAAGTACCTGTCAATGATATAAAAAGACTGGACTTTAAATTATCGTGGGTTGTGTATAAACTTGAAAAGTCCTAGGTTTTTAAGCTGTTGATTTTGGAAAAATCTTGTGATTTCAAATCGTCCAAAAGTTCTTTGGAATTTTTGAGTATCCATATCTGATTCACAACAATTCTTGAATGTATTGTTGCACAGTTCTCTTGAAGTTTTTCATTGGGATTCTGCAAGCCAAAAATAAATCAATACCAGATACATTGGTAGTGATGCTACTTTTTAAATATGCAATCAAATATATGTAAGAAATGATTGAAGTACATAAAAAATCCCCCTACTTACATTTGAAGTATGAAAAAATATCAGGAGACACAGATAGAAGGTTTTTTTAGGATAAAAAAGTAGGGGGTCAAATTTCTATGGGGGTCAATTTTCAACGTGTGTGGAGTCGTAGAATTACTGGTCTGGAATGTTTTTCTACAGTCGAAAAATGACCCTACTTGTCGTAGAATATTGACCCGGGGTCATTTTTCGGATCAAGTATAGTATACGGATATGTAGTTCCTGTGGATTCACTCATATTGAAAAAGGAGTAAATAGTCCTCTGAACTGTATATAGTTATTTTAAATCAAAAATATTAAATATTTATTATTTGCATTTAACTCAATTTATTGAATTCATGAATATTCATAGGTATTCATATGAATACATAAAAATATAAACTTACATAAATATATATTATTTTGCACTGTAATATCTAATTGAAGTCTACAGGTAAACAGGTCTACAAGTCAACAGGTCTACAGGTCAACAAGTCTACAGGTCGACAGGTCAACAGGTCTATAGGTCTACAGGTCAACAAGTCTACAGGTCAACAGGTCTACAGGTCAACAAGTCTACAGTTCTACAGGTCAACAGGTCTACAGGTCGACATGTGTACAGACTACAGCTTAATATAGCACCCACTAATAATGATATTTTATAATTATAAAAAAAAAATTTCACAATATTCCCAGTCAACATATAAACTCATTCATCTCTGATTGTGTATGTTTCTGCATAACAAAAAATATTTCACAATCTTCCCAATCACCATAGAAATTCAATCATCTCCGATTGTGGATGGTTCTGCATAAGAAACGCCTTAACATCTGCTCCGATTGTTGAGTCGTCATTGAAGTTGGTCCTATAATTTTCAATACTAATGGCTGCGGTGGTCAGCATCTTCTGATGTTCCCCAATTTCTTCGTCTATGCAGTTTGGATGGATCTTCATGAAAAAATCTTTTTTCCCTTGCCTTGTCTTTAATGCTTTCAATTTCCCAAATCCCAACCTTTCCAAATGCTCTAGTTCAACTAAAAATATGTATTGTAATTTTAATTATAAAACATATATATTACCATATACATACATGGTTGTATCATTGATTTGATAAAAAATAGCAATCATATATATTCTAAATCAATGAAAATATGGGAAAACTTTCAATAGTATTTAATTATGTTACGTATATAACTATTCCCCTACATGGAGAATACAGTGTTTATAATTTTTTCTATAGATATAAATACGAAATTCCTTCAAAATTAAAACTAATTTTTCAAGAAATATTGAACACTGAATATTATATTAATTGGCATTACTATATTTTGTTAACAACTTATGTCACTTGCTTCGGTTTAAGTTAAAACATGTTAGAATGCACAATGGAATGACATTAACACTAATGAGTATACAAGTACATCTTATAAAAAGTGTGAATGAAAATTCAAATTTGTATTAAAATTTTACATCATATCATTTAATGTTTTACAGTTTAATTCAATGATATTTATTGCATAACTTACTTCTGATATTCTGGGATAAAGATCCCTTAAGATGCTGCTGCAAATATCTTATTGACACACAGGGGCTCTTTGCCTTGCATACTGCCTTAAAGACTCTTTCCCTAAAGGACATCACCGATTTTATTCTTAAATTGGAGACTTCTTTCTCAAATGCTTGTACTGACTGAAATAACAAGATAAATACTTAAATCTAAATACGTTTTCTTATGCTCAGTAAATATACATTATATGTAAACTATGCTATTTATCTAATAAACATATCTTAATTGATGACAACACATATATATGTATCATCTGTGTGAGACAGAAATTAATTAAACCGTGATGCGCCACAAATATAAGTAGTGTTGGGGGGGGGGTTGTTATATATTAACTTAATCATTTTGATAAAAAATACAAATATTTGACCCTTTCATATTCTACGTGCACATGTCCTCATCCATATTATCTTTTTAAATTGACCACAATAATATAACAAACCTGTACAAAAATAGCCTTCTGTTGAGAAACCGCATTATATAAAACCATGGCCTGCTTCAATGTTTCCTCAGTAATTTCTGTAGGTGTTGGAGTTAATCTATTCTCCATAGCTCCAGTCAGGTTATGTTGCAGGATGTGTAGAGCAACTGCCAATCTCAAAATATGTGTTGTATCCTTACTAGTAATTGTGGACGACTCCTCAGATGGATCGTTCTGAGACATTGAAGGTTCATTGTTTTCCTTATCATCTTCTTAAAATAATACATTTTATAAATTATATTAATTTCATTTATAACTACATGCATTATTTAATTATTTTTTCTAGATTTTTTTTAGAACTACAATCTTAATTAATATTTTTAAAAACATTATTTAAATCTATTTGTAAATACATTATTCATTCACTAATAATATCGTTATAATTATTTTGAGTAAAAATAAACAAATTATAAATTAAAATAATTATACACATTGTAATTTGAGAAAAAAATCAAAACATTTCATACCTTCATCTGAGCCATATTTTCTACTTATGAACTCTGCATACGAGTCAGTCATTGCGTCAAATTCTTGCTCTGCAACTTCTGAGAGAGTGTACAATTGCCCTTTAGTATGTTCTTCGTAAACTTTTGTCAATATTTCGGCAAAGTCCTGCACATTTGAATCTTTTAGTATCTGCATGTTTTCTTTTGTTACTGCCGATGTGTTAAATATAGGTTTTGAAACAAAGAACAGAAATCGGTCAAGCAAACCATCATCTCCTCCAAGATGGAATAATTCGGAAAGCAGGGGATGGGGTTGAATAAACAAGCAAATTGACATTGACGTTTTCAAGAAACCTCTGTTTCCGGATACTAGGGTTGCCGTGTCTCCTTTCCCGCCCCACATTTTGCATAACAGTGAACGTTCGCCCTCTCCTTTCGATTGCTTTACATTTATGGATGTTAAGAAACGGTGTCCCTCATCACTGGTAATTAGACCGTATCCGTTGTTGTCTATCTGATGCTTCTGTAAACCAGCGGTTGTATATGTTTCCAGTTGCAGATTCACCCCGTGCTTCTTTCTGATTTTCTCAATTACTGGATCTACAACTCTGTAAAATGTGTTGCTTTTTCCTCCACCGGGCGCGCACACGGAGATTATAAACTGGTTAAGAACTGTGGTATATTCACTGCTTCCCACAGTAACTTTACTTTCTGGTCCGGTCAGTGCCGCAACTAAGGATAATAAGCTTGCCGTAATTAAAGTTTTAGAACAATTCGTCGCCTTTTCGAACACTGTCAACCAGTTTTCAATTTCTTCTGAAAATACATTTTTCCATGGAATTTTAACGCTATATGAGTTCTTGTAAATTTCAAATACATCCTCCGTTCTAACTTTCTTCATCGCTGCCATCGCTTATCCAAAGTGTCTTTGAAATGAAACGTTTCTATTGTGACGTCATAATATAAGTAACGTTATGGATACATAATATTTTTTGTAATAAATACATAGTAACGCTATGGATACTTAAAATTTTATTCAGCAAAGTTTTCGATACTCTAAAGATTCTTATACTGGTTCTATTTTTTTAAAAAAAAAATGGATACCAATTCCGAAAATTCGAAACGGGCTCCGAAAGCTTTTGAATTTTACAAAATTATTTCCAATAAGGAAAATTTAATATCATATTTAATGGAAATAAGCATCTTACAAAAACATATGGACTGTGTATTATGTGGATCGGAAATGAATTTAGTCAAGCGAAAAGATTTATCAGATCAGGCTCAATGGAAATGCCCATGCTGTATTTCATCTTGTTCCATTAGGAAAAATTCAATCTTTGAGGTAGGAAACATTTTCAATAATATATGAAAAAAAAATTGACCCATAAAGATTCAAAACAAATAATTATTTTATTAAAACATTATCAATTTATTACACTGTTATTCTAAATTTTATAAACTATTTTCAATTTTTCACAGAATTCCAAATTATCGCTGGAAAAACTCACGGAAATATTATATTACTTTGGAATGGATTTTCAAATTTATGAAATTGAAAAACTGGTTGATGTTAATCATGGCACAGTTATAGAGTGGTTTCGCAAATTACGATCGATGACATTGCAATTTTTAAAGAATGATCCAATTACACTTGGAGATAGTATGGGAATTATAGAAATTGACGAAAGCTTATTTGGAAAAAAAAGAAAATATAACAGAGGAACAGGAAGACAGGATACGTGGGTTTTTGGTATGGTTGAAAAGGGAACCAGAAAAGTCATTTTTCGGGTAGTGGAAAAGAGAAATAAAGACACTCTTTTACCTATAATTAAAGAATCTGTTTCCGAAGGTTCTACAATTCATTCAGATTGCTGGTCAGCATATAACACTTTGGTTGCAGAGGGATTTGTGCACAAAACAGTCAATCATTCTAAAGAATTCTTAGCCAGCGATGGAACATGTACCAACGAAATTGAAGGCGTTTGGGGTATTACGAAAAACAAAATCAAGAAAATGAAAGGCATTCTCCACGACAAGATCCAGGATTTTCTGCATGAATTTTCATATAGATATCGATACGGATTTTCAAATGGCGATGTTTACCAAAAACTTATCGATGACATCGGTCATACCGTTTCCAATTTCTAATACTGAACAATATATTCATCTCATATAAATTGTTTACATTTTCATTTCCTACCTCATTTACACAATGACTTCTCTCAAAAAATTTGTAAATTGTCCAAAAATTATAATCATCAATCTGAATTTTGTATACTATAATATCTAGGAAACATTGAATCCCTTGTTTTTTTAGACCTGTCGACCTGTAGACCTGTAGACCCGTAGACCTGTCGACCTGTTGACCTGTAGACCTGTTGACCTGTTGACCTGTAGACCTGTTGACCTGTAGATCTGTAGACCTGTAGACATGTAGACCTGTAGATCCGTAGACCCTTAGAGCCTTACACCTGTAGAGCCGTACACCTGTAGACCTGTAGACCTGTTGACCTGTTGACCTGTAGACCCGTAGACCTGTAGATCCGTAGACCCTTAGAGCCGCAGACCTGTAGAGCCTTAGACCTGTAAACCTGTAGACCCGTATACCTGTAGACCTGTCGACCTGTATACCTGTAGACCTGTCGACCTGTAGACCCGTAGACCTGTTGACCTGTAGACCTGTTGACCTGTAGACCTGTAGACCCGTAGACCCGTAGACCTGTAGATCCGTAGACCCTTAGAGCCTTAGACCTGTAGAGCCTTAGACCTGTAGACCTGTAGACCCGTATACCTGTAGACCTGTCGACCTGTCGACCTGTATACCTGTAGACCTGTAGACCTGTCGACCTGTAGACCCGTAGACCTGCAGACCCTTATACCTGTAGAACTGTAGACCTGTAGACCCGTAGACCTGTAGACCCATAGACCTGCATACCTGTCGACCTGTAGACCTGTACACCCGTAGACCTGTAGACTTGTAGACCCGTAGACCTGTAGGCCTGTCGATCCGTAGACCTATCAACCCGTAGACCTGTAGACATGTCAACCCGTATTTCTGCATTCATGTAGACCTGTTGAACTATCAACCCATAGACCAGTCTACCTGTAAACCCATATAACTTTCCATCCGTAGACCTATATACCTATAGATTACCCTTTGACCTGTATACCTGTCAATCTGTATACCTTTTCTACTTGTAAACTTTTCATAATACATACACATTCATAATTATTTTCAAATTTGATATATATTTCATCATTATTATTCATACTTATTCAAATTCTTAAATAAATAAAATTTACATAACCACTAATTTCTTATTAAATTAATACACGTAGTAATGAATATTGCGCATTAATATACCAAAATATTTCAAATCAAATACGAACTACTTTTCCGTATAACCAACTTGGGCCCATTTTTCTACGTAGAAAAATGACCCCCTGGTCAATATTCTACGGGGGTCACTTTTCGTCGTTACACCGGCAATTGCTCTTTGAGCAATAAGCCCGGCTAAAAATGGAACTCGAAAACCTATAAAAATTCATGTTTAATATTTTTTAAAAATATTTTATCATTGGTCGCCTTTTAAAAATTACTTTAAATTACTTTCTTTTAAAATCGTTCTTCACACAAGATACTATAGTACTGGAATTCGTCATTGAAAATGTAGGAACATCGTTTGATACAGACATAAATTAAAATATGTATTTTGACTTTCATATAGCAATTAGAGTCAAACTTTCTATGAATCTACAATTCAAAAAGTCTATGATATCTTAATATTTTATCCAAAACTAGAAAAATATGAGCTTCTATGAAAATTGTGAGGAATAAGAATTATTTCTCAAAATGTGCATATCTTTTAGATATGTTTAAGGAATCACTGTCTTGTTTTGAGAGTATGCCAGGGCATCAACAATAGTGGGAAACATGGGATAATTTGCATAACGGGCGAAGCCCGTTATGCTAAAATTATCCCATGTTTCCCACTATTGTTGATGTCCCTGGCATACTCTCAAAACTAGACAGTGATTCCTTATATTTCCATTTCACTGTGAAATAAAATTGTAGATTTGGACTTTAAAAATGTAGACATAGACTTAAATCACACGAGGACTTCCATGCTAATTTCAATAGTCCTCGCCCACTGACGTCAAATACAAAGGCAGCCGCACGAGATTTACATGCATATTTGGCCTCCTTAGCGTCAGACACAGAGACAGATGCGCACGAGATTTGCATGCGTATTAGGCCTCCTTAGCTCCTGACCTATCGACCTGCCTAATTTACATTCTGGCAGAATTATCAAGAAATAAACTCCGACAACTTTCAAAGAGTTATCACAGAGAAAAAAATTAGAAATGGAAATATTTACCAATATTGTAATTTTCAATTTTCAATTTCCCCTATTTTCCAAGACTAGCTTATACATGTACCGTAAACGGCTTGCGTAATGAAACCGCCGTATCCTTTTTAACAACCAGTCTTACTGAACACTGAAATCACTCCAAGCATTGAATTAGAGTCAAGCATCAATTTTAACCTATAAATCCAATGAATACGTTTTATATAATATTCATATTATATATATATTTGCATATCCACTGCTCTCTCCCACTATGAACCTGCAGGTTTCAACTGCGTTCATAGCACTATAGACGCAACTGCTCCTGCTATGAGTGCAATTGCTCTTTAGCACTCGTGTACTACAAGCTCTACTACACTTACATAGATTGATGAGAAGTATATATATATATATGAAATGTTTTGTAAAAGGAATAAATATAAGTTTTTAATAATATTTTTTTGGAAAAAAAGAAATTCAGAACAATTTAAAATTGCAGATTTATATCTTTGAAAATTTAATTTTGGTCAATGTGTTAATTGTATAATAAAACTTTTTCAAAATTGAAGAGAACTGCCATATTTTTATTTTTTCTTATCATTTTTTTTTGTTGCATATTTGTACATAGAACGATAACTCTTCACACTTGGGAGATAAAACATTCAGAAAAAGCAAAAATTCTTTAATTAGTATGTCTATTTCAAGAACGATTTCAGTTCTTAAAAATCACAGAAAAACATTCTGGAGTTATAATCATTATTAAACATTCCCTTTTTTCATAAGGTTAAATAACGCGCATCATGGAATACGCCAGCAGAGCAATTGCTATTCATAACGCCATGTTCACTAAATAACGTTGTTTATTTCTTAAATACAATCAGATAACCCTCAATTCAATGTGATTTCTCTACGTTGTCACTTCTGGCGCGTCGTGTTTATTAAGATCACAGTACAGATGTTTGCTTGTTATATGGGCTGGTGTGATCACAAAAGCATTCCGCTTTATGGACTTTTATCCATCCCTTTTTGTCCTGTCTTTTAGGAGGAAGAAAGAACACACATCTGTCGCCAACAAAATGTACTAAAATAACAGCTGATTTTGCATCCTGTTGTCTGAAATTTAATTTTTAGAATTTTTATTATTTTTATTCTTTGTCATTATTTGAAAGTAGGTTTAGCCTGTTGTGTTGAAAACAAAATATTTAAAAAAATTTCATATTTTCTGCTCAATATATAATAAATATTATAATTTTTGGGCATATTTTAGCATATGAAGTAACAAATACCATAATGCAAACATGATATGTTCATACGAACCATACGTTACTATTAGATGTTTACCAATACACTTTAGCTGAAGCGCTTGATTGCTTTATGCTTCTAAGGTGAGAGGCTTGTGTGTATATAAGCCTGTTTGTGTTTTAAGTTTGCTCATAATACTTGTATGGATCAAGAAAATAAATGGAATGCATGGAAAATGAATATGTTCTACATCAAATGCTCCCCAGGTCGAAATATTTATAAAAATTATCATCCTTTGAAAGTAGATTTTTTCAAAATTAATTTCTATGATTAGATCTTCTTTACCCAAGTTTGATGGAAAGTACAATTTTCAAAACTACATTTTGAGATAATTTGTTTTTCTCTTCAGATTCATATACTATCAGTATATTTCACGAATTTATCGCCAATGCGAAATAGAAGTTGAGATCCATCTGTACATTTTACAATGCGATGTAAATTTTATTGCCAAAGATATATACTGAAGAATAACCTTGGTTTTTAACTGGGTTCAAGCATATACGGATGAACATGCACATAACTGTATGTTTCTTGCATATTTTGACAAATATTTCTTTTATTTACGTTAAGAACAATTTCGTTGAAGGACAATGAAAGGAAATGCAAAATTCATATTTTCTACTGAGTTGTTTAATGTATTCTTTTTAAAATTACAAGCCCCTCCCCACCCCCCACATATTTATTTATTTTGCGATTATTTTTTTTTTATTGACAAAATGTCAGTTAATCTAAACAAGACAGCAAACCCAAAACACCAAGAAACTAACTCATTATGAGTTCTCATTAGAACAAATTAATATCATTTATCTCTTGAGGTTTGTAATATAGAACAATTTTACATGTATTATGAATTTTTAAAAAAAAAATCATTGTCAACGCCATTATCAATAGAAAGGTAATTGTTCTGCGCTTTCGTTCCGTCAGGATTCCAAATTTTCTATTAAAATAAATTTCAACATACAAACCTTTTTTGTAATATTGACACGAGAGAAAGTATTAGAACCAGGACCACTATTATCAGCTGTGTTAGCTCTATAATCATACTGAGGTCATTTGGAATTAATACCAATATCTGCAACGTTAATTAGCGCACTAACAAAGATTTATTGTTTTTATTAACATAGGTACAAACAATCTCTAGGTAAAAATAATCACTTAAAGTGGCTAGGTTAAAAAAAGATGGAAATTGTATTATTGACATGACCGTCATTGTAAATTAATTGATGGAGATGAAAATTATTTTTGACAGATTTACAGTTATTACTAATGCTTAAGTTGACATGGACAAACAATTATTGAATGTTTTTAAACAGATGTATACTGTAGAGAATTAAAAAATTCTTACCATTTTTATTTAAAAGTTGTTAAATTATTCATACAAAGGTCAATAAATGTGCTCAGAATGATTGAATGATTAAACATTGAAAAACGTAGGGACATAATTAAGTAATATTACACAAACTGTTCCTTGAATGTAAAAACAAAACACGAAGTGGACTCCGTCACATTGTTAAAAATATTGAGTTTGACAACGAAATAGGTTCAATTACTTAAATGTATTATTATTTAGACCTATCTTTCATTTATTTATAACAATCTATAACTTATCAAGTTGATATTCAATAGATGCTTTGTTTCTGATTGACAATATAAATATCTGATTTTTGGAGACCAGGTCATTCTATTGGAATTCACCTAGTTACCAACTGCACCCTCAGCAGCCCTTTTTGTATTCATATGAAGCAAAATTTGTTCAAAACCTTATAAGTGAAAAGAAGAAAAGATTTGCTATGGTCTTCAACTCGATATTTAGGTATATCGACGACGTATTGTCAATTAACAATGGTTATTTCCATAATTCTTATGTGGTTGTGGTTAGATACATCTGTTTCATATTTGGATATTTTACTAAAAGATTGGCAATTTTATAACCAAGCTTCATGATAAATGTGACGACTTTAACTTTTCTATCGTCAACTTCTTCCCTTACCTATGCAGCTATATATATTTTATCACCCGCATACCGGGTTTATATCTCTCAATTAATTCGATAAGCATGCACTTCAATACCTAAGCTTCAACATTGCCATTTGGGCAACAGAGTACGCCAGTCATTCCTAGAAATATTTTGTGCCGATTATGTCAAGGAAGGACATACCGCGTACAAAACAACAGGAAACAACTGGCAGAATTTTGAATTTATACTTGTTTTGAATTATAAACTTTTATAGATTTATTTTTCTTTGTAATAATTTCCTCTTACACTTTATAAATTGAATTAGCAATAATTAGCAATTCAAATACTTTTAAGATACTTAAAACTTATCGTATGTTTACCTGCTGTGTTTAAGGATCTTTGGAAACAGAAAATTATCGATTAATGAATAGTCAAAAACATTGAATATACACAACATGAATTAATGTTCAATATGATGGACTAAATAATGTACATACACAAAAATAGTTGGCAATTTCATATTTTTATATAATTTTAAAATGTGCAAATGTAAAATAAAAATATTAAATTCCAATATAACTTCATATCATAAGTCTAATTACTGAAACAGTACCAGAGGTGGATTTCCCAATAAAGCGCTTTAATAGTACATAAGTACTAGTATTTGTATATAGATAATCTTTTTTCCAAAATTTTAGAAACTAAACTAATCTTATTCTTGATTAAAATGTGAACATTACAGATAGATTGTGAAAATGTATATATAAGGCTTGAATGATTAGCAACAATGCTGGTAAAAATCTGAATGCATACTGGGAAAATGTAAGCACAGTAAATTCAGGTCTCAGGTTCAGTATCTTCATATGAATTTATACTGGCTTTACTGACTTTGCTTTTAATTAGTTTTCTATACTTTGGAGTTGCAGCTCTGGTGTTTAATGACTCGTAGAGTAAAGTTGTCTGTCCACTGCATCCACACAAACAGTTGGCTTTGTGAAGCTGTACCTCAGCATTTTTGTTTTGTCGTTTGGGATATAACATGAGAACTAGACTATCGCCATGTTCATCCATTTGAATTACAGCCGAGCTTGGAAACAGCTTTCTAAAATTAACAATCAACAATTTTGTTTTTATTCAGTTATCTAATAATTTCATATAATCCATGCTTTAGGGACGTCGATCATATCTAAAAATGTGTTAAACCTAAAAAAATATCATTAACATCGTAACTTTGGACTTTGGTATATAGAAATATTATGACTCAATAGATATTTAAAAAAAAATATTATCTGCATATTCAATATTTCTCTCTCAAAGAATCATTATAATGTTGATAATGCTTTATTCGCGAGAACTTTATTTGGAATCATGTGATTTACGCGAGACAGTGTGTTCGCAAAAATATCATTCTCGCCTTTATTATTATTCGATAAGATTATATAGAAAAGTGACCACAATTCGTGAAAATTTTGTTTGGCTAATGAAGAGTTAATGTCTAACTCTCAAAAATAAGGTGTCGAGAAAATTAAGTGATGTATAGTATTTATTTATATCGGGACTCCACTTAAAGGTCTTATCTGAAACTCATTCATTTTATTGTCGGAGGCTCAGCGAATGAAAAATTACAACCTTTTTTATGTCTTTTAGGTTTGACGCTGGCAACAAGATTTGAAACTGGTACTTCCCGATCAAGAATCGAGAGCTCAAAATAAAAGGCATCTCTCTGCTTCAGAGACGAACGTTTTATATATGGTTTAAAATTCAAGAAGAAACTTTTGCTTTCATAAATGTTCTTTACAGTAAACACTTTCTTTTAAGGTAGGATTCTTCTCTGGTTTCTGACTAGATGGAATATTCAAAGTACATTTGCTGATATGTCTTATATATTTAGATGTAAGAGATTAAGAAGACTATATTTTTCTTTCCTCATCACGATTATACAACTTTAAATAGAAATGGTAAACTGCGTTTGAAAACTAGTAGGGACTATATTTTTGGCGGAATGGTGACGTATGAAAATATCTTCTTTTCTGCCTCTCAAAATTATTATAGAACATTGAATTTAGTTATAATTTTTATGCAATCAAAAACTAGACAAAATTTTCAAATGTAAGTTAAATTAATAATGAGGGACTAAAGTTTCAAAATATATCAAATAAATAAGATTTTTCACACATACTAGAACTATGTTGGCTTTTAAATGCTTCAAATCTAAGTACAGATTTGAGCCAAAAATCAGTAAAAAGTGTTATTTCTCTCTTAGTTACCGATCAAAACTTTTAGTTTTTGTATCATTTTGTACCTTTATGTGACAACTTTAGTATATGTGAAAATTAGAAAAAGTTAAATATAGGAAGCATATAAAAATAACTAATAAATCCTAAAAAATTATGAAAAGTAGAGGAAATTCGGATTAGCAAATATCCATTTTATTTAAATTATCCATGTCAATTTGGTCATATCATCTTATAGGCCCTATATGGTAGTATCTTTTTATGCAAAAAGAAAAACATTCAATCTTTTGAATTACAAGTAGGGATCGCATGATTGGAAACAGTAATTTTTTATTCTAGATGTCCAGGAAAAAGGTAATGACCTTGACCTGACCTTGCCTCTAATATTAAACGGTCAAATTTAATATCACTGATACCATCACTTAGTGATATTGTCCTCTTGATTCTGTGAAAATTTCATTAATTTTTAAATACAAGAAATGTGAGAAGAATCCTACCTAAGTTTTACCATTACAATATCCATATTTAAATGTATACTGGATATGTATTTCGCGTGAGCATTGTTTTTTCAGAAAATGAAATCTCCTTTCATGAATCAGACCTTACCTTTGATTAGAAAGGGGATAGGCAAAATAAAAAATAAATTTAGATGATTTTGTAAATAGAAAATTAACACTGTATGTTATGGACATTAAATTGTAATTTCTTATGCGAATTTTAAGTATTGGTTCAATGATTATGTTGGACGAAATGTAAAGCCCAAGTTTTACAGCTATGCCTTTCCAAAAAAATGAACTTCAGTGATAGATATAAAGGTTACCTTCTTTGTAATATTGATGTAAGGCAGAGTATTAGAATCAGGACCATTATTGCCAGCTGTATCAGGTCTATGATCATACCAAGGTCCATTGTAGTAGCTGTGAGACTGTTTTCGAAGACTTAAATAAATAAATAGAAGTTTTTGTTATAAAAATGCTCAGAAAGTATATCTAAAATTGATTATAAAAATTGATTCAATCAATTATTACTTTCAGATAGTAGATAAGAGCATATAAAAATATTGTTCCGTCATCAATTCTTATTGTTTACAGAAAAATTGTATGAAGATTTCATTTGGACCTCAGCTTTTGCTTCTTTATGACCGACATTCTTTTAAAGGAACATAGTGAAAGATATGCTATGTGGGGTTTTTCAAAGTTCTGAATAACAAGATTGCATTATAAGCGAGTTCTTTGTCACCGATTTTTTTTCTATATTTGTTACACAGTAAAAATAAAATGAGAGCCATGTAGAACACGTACCTTTATCATTTCGGGAAGGATTTAGAGTTGTCAGCATAGTTGTTTTTTGTCGTACGTCTGGTAACTCTAAAATTTAAATTTATGGATTTACTTATTTGTGTTGAGAAAATACGCAGAGACCAACCTCATTTATTTCAAGAATGGATTCTTTGTTCATTTGTTTACGGGTGAATAGGTTGAATCTGTGCTACGCATGATTCAGTCACGTATAAGGTAGATTTTTGGGTGTTTAAAGTCATTCGAAGTTCGGTGCTACATTGCAACAGACTAATCCCCCCCACCCACAAACCCCTTCCAGTACCGATATCGATGTTGTTCGTATCAATGTTGACTTATGTCTTTATTTGAATCTTTTTCTTTTGTAGAATGATATGGATTTCAGAAGTTAACTAAAGACTGTGCTTTGTATACTGTATACACTTCATTAAAGTCTGTTGCACTCGCGCATGCAAGCTCATCCTATATAAAGTGTTTTTGAGTTTTTATTTATAAATATTTTATGTTCGTTTGAACTGGTGAATTAGAACATAATGTTATTTATCCTGTGGGGAGCCCCTCGATTTGTAATTTTATTTACCTGAGAACTCGTGTTCGGGTAGTACCCGGGAAGTCACAGCGGAGATCAGACCTGTTTGGCTTGTTGTTTGAAGTAGCCGGGGCGGGTACTTAAACTGCATCAGGTATTTGAAAAAGCACTTTGTAAAATATGTTTTCTTGTTTGAGTCAACACGTTTAGTATGGTTGTTTTATTATATTTTTCCCCAGGGTCCTATTTCCTCGGGCTTTCGTCCCGTTTCGTAATTAACAGGTCTTGGGCGGGGTACTACAGCCAATTACATTGACAATAGCCTGTCGGCAGTCCAGGGTGTGAGGGATAGGCTTGCAATGTGTAATGGTTTTGCAGTTACAGCAGCAAATGTGAGAAAGTGTACGACAAAGTACGGCAGCCCTGACGGACACCTCTGGACCAGCAATTTAAAGTTATATGTTGGTATTGAATTAAGAATTCACCTGTTTGAAATACACTGTACTATCAATTCAATCCAAAGTTATTCCAGACGGCATTGTGAAAGTTTAAAAACATTCAAATATGTGATAATTGTGAAAATTATATTTAATTTAATTTGTGAAAGAAAAACACGTTTACCAGAGGAAATTAAAAAGCCAGAACTCAAATCTTCTGCAAGGGAATTGTGAATAATTTACTACAGTAACTTTTTAAAGGACATTCTCCAGGACGTGCAGCTGATAGACATTTCATTTCTATTTTTTGTTTTGTTGTAAAAATTTACTTTTGTTTTATTATTAACTTTTGTTAAAATTTCATTTTGTTTGTTTCCTTCATTTATTTAAGTTCTTAAAGTGTATAACCAACAACAAAGTTATTTCATAGAAAATTCTTTTATGAGTTAATGAACATGCAACTGTGAAACCCTACATTTCATTAATCCACGAATCAACGTTCTTGATTCTTCTGTATTAAAAATTTACTATCTCTCATGGCTTCTCAACATGAGTGGAAAATGCTGGAGAAGAACTTCCAAGAAACAGTCTCCCATGAACCAGTAAAATTAAAAGTGCCGAAGAACGTTCAGCACAACAAATTAAAATGTTTTCAAAGTATCACTTCTTTCAAAGTTTCTGAATACAGTCTTGGATTTTTTGTATGCAATGCTATGAAATACTAATTTTCGAAGGAAAGATAATTTTGTTGATTTTGCATTGGAGAAGAATGGCTTGACAATTCTTTAAATCTTTTCAACTACAAATTTAATTAAGAATAGAATTCTTTTATTATACTTTTAAAGACATTCTAACATTCATTTAATTCAAAATAATCTTACAAAAAAGATTCTTTCTATTTAGCAAAAAAACTCTTACCAACATACACATGTAGTTTTGTTATACAAAGCTTGCCCAAATGTTGATATTATATTTTTATTGAAAACTTTGAGTAGAATTATTTATTGATGGAAACTGTAAAAAATGTTGGTATATTTTGTAGATCAACAGTCCGGAATATTTGTATTTCAAGTATTGAGGACAACATATAAATTAACTTTACGCAGAATTAATAAATAAGCTGCAGTTATTACTGAATAAAATTTGGTAACATGAAAAGGAAAATAAATCATGGATCAATAGTGTTCCTGGTAATAAATATGCCATTTCCTATTTATTTAATAATCAGGAACTTAGCATTAAGTAAGTACATGACCCCAATGTGGTAAAATTATATGCTAAAAAAATGCTTCGTGCGTTAGACTAGCTTCATATTAACTATTAATAGATTATATTTCTAATAAAAATCATCCTGATTTATATAATTGAAGAAAAAATAGATCTAATTTTATTTTATTTTATTGCATTGAACCTATCTCGACACAAATAGGCCAAATTTGAAACAAGCATAAACAACAAGGGCATTTTCGGTATGGCAATCAGAAGTTGGACGGTTATTCGCTATTCGCTATTCGCCATTCGAATGGCGAACCGCAGGCTGTCTGCCGTTCGCTATTCAAATTACCGTAAATGTCCTAATAATTTTTTTTTCAAAAAACCTTAATAACGCATTATAACCCGTGTTTAAGAATAAAAACAGACATCACTTAAAGAAGAAGAGTGAGGACCCCAAACCAATGCAGCTAGCCTGACCAAAATGATGAATATTTAGCTAGCCAGGTCAAAATTGGAAAAAAAAGTATTTGTACATAAGAGCAAATTACCCGGGGTCAGGATAGCATCCTGAATCCCATATTTAGACTCTTATATTTTTGCAAGGGAGGAATATGGGAGAGACCTTTCAAACCTCAAAAGAAATTTATATTACAAGACCGGACACCTATTTAGCTAGCCCGATCAAAATTGGAAAAAAAGTAAAATACTGTAATTATAAGAGTACATTGCCCGGGGGGCTGGATAACATCCTGGATCTATTTAGATCTTCATATTTTTACAGGGGAGGGGTATGGGAGAGACCCTTCCACTGTCAAAAAGAATATATGTTACAAGACCGGGAACCTATTTGGCTAGCCTATTCAAAATTGAAAAAAAACGTATAACGCCATACTTATAAGAGTACATTGCCCGGGGGGGGGGGGGGGGGGGGGGGATAACATCGTGGATCCCATATTTAGATCTTCATATTTTTACAGGGGAAGGGTATGGGAGGGACCCTTTCACTTTCAAAAGGAATTTCTGTTACAAGACCGGACACCTATTTAGCTAGCCCGGTCAAAATTGGGAAAAACGTATAATGCTTTAATAAGTAGAGGACATTGCCCGGCGGGCTGGATAACATCGTGGATCCAATATTTAGATCTTCATATATTTACAGGGGAGGGGTATGGGAGGGACCCTTCCACTGTCAAAAGGAATTTATGTTAAATACCGGGAACCCATTTGGCTAGCCCGGTCAAAATTGGGAAAAAACGTTTAATGCTTTAATAAGTAGAGGACATTGCACGGGGGTCTGGCTAACAGCGTTGATCCCATATTTAGATCTTCATATTTTTACAGGGGAGGGGTATGAGAGGGACCCTTCCACTGTTAAAGGGAATTTATGTTACAAGACCGGGAACCCATTTAGCTAGCCCGGAGAAAATTGGAAAAAAACCCGTATAATTCTATTATATGTATTTCTGAATAAGAGTACATTGCCCCGAGCGCAAGCTAACATCCAAGATCCCATATTTAGACCTTCATATTTTTACAGGGGAGGGTTATGGGAGGACCCTCCTATTGTCAAAGGAAATTTATGTTACAAGACTTGGAACCCATTTAGCTAGCCCGGAGAAAATTGGAAAAAAACCCGTATAATTCTATTATATGTATTTCTGAATAAGAGTACATTGCCCTGGGGTCTGGCTAACATCGAAGATCCCATATTTAGACCTTCATATTTTTACAGGGGAGGGGTATGGGAGGGACCCTTCCACTGTAAAAGGAATTTGTGTTACAAGACCGGGAACCCATTTAGCTAGCCCGGAGAAAATTGGAAAAAAACCCGTATAATTCTATTATATGTATTTCTGAATAAGAGTACATTGCCCTGGGGTCTGGCTAACATCGAAGATCCCATATTTAGACCTTCATATTTTTACAGGGGAGGAGTATGGGAGGGACCCTTCCACTGTAAAAAGGAATTTATGTTTCAAGACCGGGAACCCATTTAGCTAACCCGGAAAAAATTGGAAAAAAACCCGTATAATTCTATTATATGTATTTCTGAATAAGAGTACATTGCCCTTGGGTCTGGCTAACATCGAAGATCCCATATCTAGACATTCATATTTTTACAGGGGAAGGGTATTGGAGGGACCCTTCTACTGTTAAAGGGAATTTATGTTACAAGACCTGGAACTCATTTAGCTAGCCCGGAGAAAATTGAAAAAAAAACCGTATAATTCTATTATATGTATTTCTGAATAAGAGTACATTGCCCTTGGGTCTGGCTAACATCGAAGATCCCATATCTAGACATTCATACTTTTACAGGGGAGGGGTATTGGAGGGACCTTTCCACTGTTAAAAGGAATTTATGTAACAAGACCGGACACCTATTTAGCAAGCCCGGTCAAAATTGGGGAAAAACGTATAATGCTTTAATAAGTAGAGGACATTGCCATGGGGTCTGGCT